AATTTGTTGTATTTCATTTACCTATAAAGAACTCTGTATCCAAAGACCCACTTGACCTAAAAAAAGAGAATATTGAAAGGTTAATAAAATGTTTTGTTAAAGCAGAATAATTTCAAAGAAAGTTCTGATACCAACACTTTTAAAGATCAGGTCGCCTAAAAAAAGGGAAATTCCAAAATATTAAAAAGCGGTTCATTAAGGAAATATAAAGAAACATTAAATAAATATTGTTTGATTTCTCACTGAAATCCCATGCGTCAAAATAGCCGAAGAACCAAGTCGTCTAAAAAAAAGTAAGAAATATAACTATTAGAAATCGTTCGTTAAAAAATAAAACAATTAAATTTACCAAAGTTCGCATCTAACTAAAAGAGAAAAAAAAAGAAAAGGGAAATGTAAAAGGGAAGGGAAAAGGGAAGGGAAGGAAGAGGAAAGAACGAGGGAGAGCGAAAGGTGTGAAGGGAAGTGAAAGGGCGAACGAAGAAAAAAAAAGTTTTAAAAAAGTAAAAAAAAAAAAAAAGTTTGATCAAACTGCGGATTATATCACGTGATACACGTATTATATATAAATAAGGGGCTTTTCCCTGACGATAAATTTTTTTTTTTACTTTTTTTTAATTACTTTAACTACAGTAATTATATAAATTATATGTATATATGTGCTCATATACACACATATATATCTAATAACTTTCGAAAAGCCCCTTCTCTTTGACCTATAGGGGAAAGGTTTTTGATATAATTATATATAAAAAATCATCACATTATACACTATTGCCGATATTACATATTACAGGTATTAAAAGTATATATTAATGGTAATACAATTTTTTTACTAATTGCAAAATTTATTTTATAAATAGTTAATTATTAAATTCATTGTGCAATATTTTATACAATATATATGTGAATAAAAAATTTGTGAAAATATTATAAAAAATTACAAGATTTATCGAAAAATGTATTAGAATTACATATTTTACAATTAGCTAAAAAAAAAATTAATATTAAATAATATATTGTCAGAAGTGTCGTACTATATATTCCAGATACAAATACCTTGTACAAGGCAATGTACAAGTATTGTGGCTATTGAGGTAACAAGTGCAGAAGAAGAAACAATGAACGAAGAGGAAGAGGAGGCGGAGATGATTCTAACAAGGAGAGAAGAGCAAGAGACATCAGCAATGACAGAAATAGAAGAATATATAGGAAAAAATAACAAAATTAAAGAAAATAACAACAAGAAAAGAGAAAAATTAAGAAATATATAAAAATAGTAGGACTGAACATCAGGGGTTTAAACAATAATGAAAAATAAGACAAATTAAAAAATATATTGAAAAAGAAAATTGGGATATTACTGGGGTAAACGAAACAAAACTAAACAAACAAAAAGGAAAATTTGAGTTCAAAGAATGGAACGAAATGAAAACTTTAAATAATAGTACAGATGAAGAAAAGAGTAAAGGAAGCCAACTATCGATTGAAAAAAAATGGGTCGAACTAAGAACGATAAATTATAAAGAGTATCAAGTGTACGCACAAACAATGGACATGATACTCAGAGGATGTCAATGCTCAATAAGAATTATAAATATATATATGATTTGCAACGATAAAAAAATCAAACATGAAATAATAGTAACGGTGAAACAATGGATAGATGAAGCTAATGTTAACAAAATGGATGTAGTAGTAATGGGCGACTTCAATGAGCATAATAACCATCAAAATGGATCAGATGCAGAAGCAATTTTTTTGGATATGTTAACAGAGATGAACTTAACAGATGTACACCTACAATTTAACGCTCACACATGTCAAAAAATATTAGATGATAGAGTACAGATGGTTACAAATCACGAGGAAATCAAAGAGGAAGTGGTTGAACATTATAAAAATTGGACGCATAGTAGAAATTTCGATGAAAAAGAATATGAAAATAATTGGATAAATATCTATGAGCCGATAGAGACTATCGATGAGTCGATATATATAGTAATTTATGTGATGAAGTAACGGACAAAGAATTAGTAGAGACATTGAAAACAGTTAAAAATGACAAAGCAGCAGGTAGTGTTAGTGGTACCATACGACTTTTGGAAGAAGGCTGGGGAGATAAAAGATGTATTTTACTGGGAGTAATAAATATTAGTATTATAAAAGGGAAATGGGTGAATGAATGGAAACAAGGAATAATATATCCGATTAAGAAAACGATGGATTGGAGTAAAGACCTACGCTTAACACGTCCCATAACGTTAATAGAAACAGCGAGGAAAATAACAATTAAAATTTTGACGAATAGATTATGTAATATACTATCAACAAATAACGTATTAAAAGGAAAAATTATGCACTAAAACATGAAAGTACGTTTGAACCGTTAAAAATAGTACAAGCTATAATAGAAGACGCAAACAATAAAGAAGCGTGGATAATATTAATGGATATAAGCGTACGATTCTGTAAGTTCGTATAGTTTAGAAAAAGCGATGAAAAGAATTAAATTGCCTCAGCGATGGATAAATTTAGTTATGGATATATCAATAAATAAATGTAATAGAGTGATAGTTAACAATGATCTGACGGAAGAATATTACGTCAACGACGGAATAGACCAAGATGAAGTTTGGTCACCACTTTTGTGGAGAATATTTTACGATCCCTTGTTAGTTAAGTTGGATATGTTAAAAAAGAAATTGGGATATAAAATGGAAGTAGAATATAAGGAAAATATAAACAAAAAATATATTAATGCGATCGCGTTTATGGATGACACGACGTTTATTAGTAAATCACGGGAAGGTGCTGAGGAAATGTTAGAAGTATGTCATAGTTTCTATAAAATGAATGATGTAAAGGCAAATCCAAACAAATATGAGATTATTAAAATTAATAACAAGGAAGAACGAGACGTGATGATAGAGGGAAACGTTATTAAAAAATGTAATATGAAAGATGGTAATAGATTTTTTAGGGATTTTTTCACACATAACAATAATAGGTGGGTACATATTGAAAAAATAGAAAAATGATAAAAGGTTTTGTTAAAATAGTAAATAAGAAAATATTGTCGGATAAACAAGTGGCTAAATTATGGAATGTAACACTGATACCGGCCGGCAATTAAATATCAACTATTGGGAATAGTGATAACCAGACAAGAAGCAGAAAAGCTAATGACACCGGGTAAATATCTTAATGAAACATAAAAGCAATATGCCAAAATCATTACCTAATTGTATAATTTATGATAAGATATATATGGAATTAAAGATATATATAATTTACAACTAGAGTGTATAAGTAAAAATATAATGTATTTAGCGAACGGTAATGAAGAGTTAAACAAAATTTTTAAAATTCAAATGAGGAAATTGCAACAGAAATACTGGTCAGTATTATGTTTTTCAGAGATGGTAACGAGTGACAAATTTCCAACAAAGACGCATGTGGGGGATGCGCTTATTATATTAAATGAAAATAATTTTAAGATTTATAATCACGAAATTATTGACGATCAATTTCCAAATCATTGAGTTAAAGGCGGAAACATTAGAATAGAAGAAATTTTCGGTACAGATTATAAAATCTATAGGGATAGAATTAGTCACAGAAAGGTTCTGTTTTTAGAACAGTTAATGGAACTGTTTACAAGTAGGTTAATGAAGTGGAGTCACTTCTTAATGAAAAATGGTCTTACAGTAGACGTGGAACCGTTGTGGTACAAAGTTTTGTCAGAATTAACGTTAAACAAAGAAAAAGGACATATGTCAGTAAGTGACAATATAATAATATTACGCCAATCTAACGACGGAAAAATTATCTTAAGAAAGGAGTTACCCAAGAGTAAACGAAAAGAAAGTAAAACTTACGACGAAATTGGAAAGCATTTAATTATAGACGAAGCTTCTCTGGATTTGAACGAGAAAGTCAATTCTCCTTTCTTAAAAGATTGTAAAGGATGTAGATACAATATAAATAGAAAGTTGAATACAGGATTATATAGAAAAAGAAATAGCGACTATGATTGAAGGACGGAAAATTAAAAATAGCGGTGAAGAAATGATGATTAAACCTTTTATGACATATGAAAATATTGATTTGCAGAATGATTTGGTGATTGAAGAAAATATAAACGATTACAAAGAGATAGAAAAGAATACAATGAAAATAGATAGCAATGTGACGGATAATATAGATATAATGTGGTTAAATTTTGTTGTAAAAGATGAATTTACGACCGAAATTCTAGAAAACTTCATTAGTCGATAGATGATTGATAAAGAAGTTATTGTGAACTTAGGAGTGGTAATACAAAAGGTGAAGAGTTATGTTTAGATGGTTTTTTTGGATTGGAAATAATACCCAAAAGTAGCGATGTAGAAAAATTTAATTTTGAAGGGAAGTTAGCATTTGTTAAAAATGAAAGAAAAGTGTATGCGGTGGCGTTGATAATAGCAATCATAATTTTACCTTGTAATATAAAAATTGAATTAAGAAATGATTTGAAAATTATTGGGTGGCTCTATAATTATAGTAAAATGGGAAGCACGCGCAGAGAATTAGATGATAAACTTTATGTTTACTTGAATTTTATCAACACGATCTTGGAATTAAAGAATATATAATATATTAAAATGTTAGTTAAGATGATAACATGGACGCTCAAAGTACGATACAAGATGTCAAAGTTCCGGCAATTAAAAGACAACTGTAAAGATACGATAAAAGAAACTTAAATAATGTTGATAACATTTTAGTGGACGAATACAATCTTCATTGGAATTATATTCCTATAGAAGGAGCATACAGGTTTTGGTTTAAAGAATTAAGCTATAATAGTACAAAAATAGCCTTATGTTATTAGATTTTGTCAAGGATTGTTTCAGAGATACAAACGGGAAGCAACGTAATTATTACTGATTGGAACGTATCATTCAAACTGATTAATAATGAAATTACGACATCCAAGGGCGTCACAAGTAAAGAAGATACGGCAATCGGGAGTTTCAGAGTTAAAAATTTTTTGAAAATTTTGCCAACGTATGAGATCCTGTGGACAAGGAAAGTCTGGGGAATACCCGAATGTTAAATGTCCGCGTTGCTTAATTGAAGAAGAAAAGTGGGAACATATATGGATCTGTTGGATCTGTAGTAAAAATAGCCAAGACGCATCAGAATATTTAATTTTTAAAGAAAGTGTTAAATGAAGTCGTAGATAAAGAGCTGGTAGAGATAGAAAAAGAAGATATACTTAAATTCAAAGAAAGAGTGCTATCAAGTGCTAAGTTTTTTGCTAATTCTTCGACTTTATCTATGCATGAGGCTAATACATAATATATTACATAGGATAGTGATCATATTTTAATTTAGTCTTTACTCTGTTTTATTATACGGAGATTTTGATATGGATAGATTTAGTTTTCATTTTTGTTAGCTAAATTTCAATGTATTTTTTATTAATATATTGATATAATTAAAAGAAAACTACTTTGAAATTGTGTGAATTTATTAACGGAAAATTAAATAAAAACTAAAGAAATTTTATATAATTTTCGAAAAATTTCTTTTGATTTAATTAGAGATTTTTGGAATGAACGTTGTTCTATTAATCATGACATTAATGTTGCGTTAGGAATTACAAAAGAATTTTTTAAGACATAGTATGGGAAGAAAAATATATTACAACGCCGAAACCTCTTACGTATAATAAGTACATGGATGCAGAAGGATTATTAAATTATGTTAGATATGGAGGTAAAGTAATTAATTATTATCATCGTTGTGTAACATAATAGCGTAGCTAGCGTAGCTCTTTGTTATTAATCTTATGGTAAAGTTATAGAACTTAATTTATTTGTAGTGGTGCAGTTATTTAGAGGTGTAGTAGTTGTTAGTGTAAGTTGTTATACCGCTATTAAGGTTGATACGTCTTCCGGTAATCCATCGGGAAGGTGAAAGTTGTTTATGGGTCGGCAGTGATTAAATCTTATCCCCTCCACGATATTATAGTAACTAGTTAGCTAGATCTTTATTATTGTAACTCGCGTTTTTGTATCTTCTATTTTAATTTTTTTTTTTAATAAAATTATGAGTTGAACCTTAAAAAAAAAAAAAAAGTGATATTTATGAATAAAGAAGTATATGAAAGAGAAGTGCCAAACATCAAATACTAAGTTATTTTTTGTTTTGTGAGAAAAAAAATTATATATAAAAATATTTCTTTTTTATTGTTAATAAAACACACATTTTACATAAAGTACAAAGCGCAGGCGTGAATTCCAGCCAATTCTTCTTAATCAATGTTATTCTTTGGGTCATGTTAATTACAATTTATGCTGCTATTGTTACATCCTCACCAATGGACTATTAAAAAAAATATAATACCGAACATACAATATAAATAGTTATGGCAATGGTGAGTTTTAAAATATTTTTTTAAAGAAAATTATTCTTAATTAATTTATTTTTTATTCTTAACTGTAGTTAGATAACTCGGGCAAGACGAAAAGGAGCGAGTGGTGTATAATTTGGCAAGTTATTTATTTATCACTTTGAGTAGGGATACCAATACTTTTCCGTAACACCCAGATAATCTATATAGCAGATACTAGCGATGTAATTCCGCGTAGAGTCAACTATGATTAAACGGTTAGTCCAATTATTTAAATTTACACGAAACTGCATACCAAACTTGGTATTACTAAATTTCGAAATGACGAAATCCTTATAGATAAAAGATCACTTATTGGTGAATATAATTTATTTAATTCTTTTTAATACAAATTATAAAGAAAACAATATCGAAGTTTTTCAAAAACTTATGATTTCTAAAAGAAAAGAAATGAAAAAAAATGAAATTGAAGAGAATAAAAATGAAATTGAAGAGGAATGATTTTTTTTTTTTGTGTTTTTGTATGTTGTTAAAATAATCTATATTAACACATTCCTTTATTATGGTACGTCTAACTATTAATGCTATGCTTTAAAATGATGTTAAATAGGTGAAATAATGAGAATAAATAATGCCTAATAAAAAGATTCTAATATGCAAATTTAATAGCTTAGATATTACCGGTATGGCCTTTAGGTACAACAGCTGCAATCTTGACTTCGCCGTTTTTTTCTTTCGATGGACTTTTGTCTTTTTGAGCATTTCTCCTTTAATGATTAAATTAATAAATTAATAGATTTCTTTAAAAAGTATCAATATTGTATTTGTATTTACCTCTTAGTTAATTGATCGAAATTCATAGGAGAGGCTGTTACGATAGTAGCCATAAGCACAATCAAGAGAGCAAAGAAGATTTGACGCGAATTCATTTTATAGTGTTTTGATATTTTTGTGTTGAATATTTTTAATTTCTTTTTTTGAAAAATTATTTTTTAAAAAATTTTGATTTTCTGAATTAGTGAAGTTCGGGAAAGCCATTTATATATTGATTTTTTTCAATAGGGCCTATATTCCTTAAATGATCAACAAAACGAATTTATTTACCCAAACCGAAATTAATTTTAATAAAGAATTCTCACAAATTAAATACAAACAATGTACTTTATCTATAAATAATTGGAATAAAACTTTTCAAACATTCTTTAATCTTTAATATAACGACAATTAATTTAGTCGAGCTTTGTTTTTTAGATGAGTGATTGGTTGAGCTTGTTTAATAGTATTTTTTATCGTTTTTTGTTTAAAAAGGAAAAATAAAGAAAATAAAAATTTTGTCAATCTATTTCGTTGTGTTTGATTTTTACCTTGTTTTAGAATAGTATTTTTATTTTAAAAGAAAATCGATTTCTAATTTTAGGGTATAGGAGTCTTTGTTAAAGGTTTATTTCAGTAAATATATAAATCATTCCTAGAAGAAAATTTTATCCCCTGATGAACCTGATCGGCATCATTTACACGATTATGCAAATGTAGTTATACCTACCGGGCGGCAAATTTTATATGTATTTATTTATCCGTTCTCAGTAAAAATTGACTATTGATTATACTATAATAGACGGATTTGAAAATTTGAGTAATTCAGAAAGATTTGCATTTTTCAAATGAGAAAAACTTCCTTTTAATTTATTCGTAATCTCAATATTATTTTCAAATGTAATAATAATAGTTCCAAAGCTTTTTAGAATTTAATCATTTTTTTATAAATCTTTAAAATGAAAAAAATAACCAAGCGTAAGAAGATAAGATTCAACAATAAAATATACTATATTTATACTCACGATATACTATAAAACACTTACTATTGTGTAAATGGCAGGGGATAAATCAATTATATCCTGGCTAGTTGGAATAGTAAAATTTTACTTATTCCTAATTAGTCAGGATATAAGTAATACTTAAATTTATTTTCATGCATTGTGTTCTAAGTGCGTCTTTAAAAAAATGAAAAAAATGATGATATTAATATCATTTCAAACACAAAACATCGTCAAACCGTTCCAAGTTATACTAAGCTAATATAAAACAATGATAATGAGATAAAAAATAAAAAAATGATTGGTTTTAACATTTTTGGTAATTTTTATTAGACCAAAGGACTTTATTATGGTAGTTGCGTAAATAGTAATTTAAAGTAGTATATATAATATGTAAGTTACATGATAGCGAAATTGCAAAAAAAAAAAAAAATTTTTTATTAAAGTTTCGTTAATTATTGAAAAATATATGTAGAACATATTTATTAGATAAACAATGTAAATCGTTCCGGTCCCCCGTCGTTAAGACGTTGCCACCACTAACTACAAAACAAACTTTTATTAAATTTGATAAAAATTATAGCGGTTCCCAAATTTTATAATAAATAATAAATAATATCAAATAAGTAACCAATAAGAATAATAAGAATAGTTTTACGTCATTACGGACCATAATTGATCCCCATAGTGACCATCTCATTCCGGACCGCAGTAAATAAAAACGCCCACAATTAATAAATTCACTAGGTAGGTTCAAAGTTCAGACGCTACACTACTCAGCCTTATGACAGAGCATATAATAATCTCTCTTCATCTCTTTCATACTTTCATCACCATTCCACCTCTCACAAAGATTCGTCCGAATTGTTGGGTCAAATCAGGTTACCATATTTGACTCTACCCAACCTGTAACCTGAAAAATGTTTCAGATTAAATTGGGCTAGCTGAAAAATATAAAAATATCGGGTCAGAATGTTACATAATAAAAAATTTTATTATAAATTTTTTATTATTAATAACATTAAAAATATAAATATTTTTTGAATAATAATACTTAATGGAATTGAATATAAAAGTTTATACAAAACCACTGCAAATCAATTTGAGATTGTCACGGGATATTTTTTTAATTAAGTTATTTTTAGTTGTAGGTTATATTGGTAGTTTATTTTCAACACGCCGCCTCATTAATCCTTTAACTTCGCCGGCCATCACTAGTATTTCTTATAGACATCCCAAGATTGTTGATAAACTCTATCATCGGCCCAAAAAAGAATGGTCTACTTCGTGGTCCAGTTTGGACAACGACGTTATCTATGGAAGGAACAAGTTAACGAAGTTAACTGTATCTCAATCACTTACCGTGAACACTTTATACCTCACATTGCAAACGAGGATATATTACATCAACATATACCACGGTGTTGTGTTCCTATTTTGAAACCTTGTGAAGGTTGTTCTAAGCACACGCCGTATTATCGTGATCTAAGGCCAATATGCGTTGTTGTTACCGCAACCCACCAACTTTACAAAATAGATGTACATGGAAAATCATTCAAACCCAAACTTAACATTTCAAATTTACCGAAAAACTGTGTTTTTCCACAACGATCTTTGTTTAGTTTAAGGATCAGTGCTTTTAATATTTTTACTATTAATTCTAGACGCGCTGGGTCAGCAGCTGTACCAGCTATTGATATAAATACAACTTCGGCGAACGCTCCTTCAGCTTCATGTTCACGAACGAAGCATATTATCTCAAGATATCAGTCGATATCTAATTGGAGATCTTGACACTATTACTAAACTTATTACTTTATCGGAATATTTTTCTATTTCACGGGAATTAATTTTTTATACTGATGGTGCTTTACGTTCACCTATATCAAATGATCTTAATTCAAATGGTAATTTTACTACTACTACAAATATGGGCTTTGGTTGGGTTAATAAAGACGACTCGAGCACCAACTTAAATATCTCTTTTTTTGGAGGCACTTCTCTCTCACCCTCGTCTTCCAAAGCGGAGGCTTACGCTATTTTGACGTTACTATTGGTGGTTCCACCCAATTGTATGGTCCATATTTATACAGATTCAATGAATTGCATTCACACTTTTCAGCATATCAACAACTTTCTAGTCTCGATACGAAAGATTCTCAAAATTCCTAATCATGACGTTTGGCGTTTAATTAAACACCTGGTCTCAAAGAACAAAATTACTTGTCTTTGTATAAAGTTAAGGCACATTCAGGCGATTTTTACAATGATCTAGCGGATAAAGAAGCTGGTAAAGGCCTGAACGTACCTCCAATCACCATTAATCCAAAATTTATTCCAGATGTGGCTATGATACCCATGTGGGATTGTATAGGTCCTATCGACCGAGACATTAGAAAATTTTGTCAAAATATAACGGATGCCGTTACTTTTGACTCTTTTACTTCCAATAATAATTTACAACTTTTATTTAAAAATCATTCTACCCAAGCTATTAGTTGGAGTTATACTAAACTTTGGCAACACCAAAACGATACTCTGGATGTTTGTAGCTCGGATAAATCTAAAAAACACTCCTTCAAAATGAAAAGTCTCAATCATATCTTACCTTGTGGCGATGTTTTATCAGCTCATTATCCGTCACTTTATTCTCAAAATTTATTACCAATCAAATGTCCTCTTTGCGGGCGCGCGGACGATACTAATCAACATCTTGGATTTTGCCCGGATTTAATTCAGCTTTTGACTAATGTCCTTTTGGACGCGAAAGCACTTATCAGCAAACGTGTAACAACTGAATTAAACACCTTTTACACCAACTCAACTCTGACTCGGGATTTGGACGCGTCACCACTTTTTTCGCCTGTGGTTGATGCTACTCACCTCGTTTATCTTATTATACACAATGTGGTTCCTCAATCTTTAGTAGATTTGATTCACTCTCATACTCGTAAAACTTCGCATTCTACGTCTATTGTTATGGATGTTATGAAATTAATTCATTTACAATTTCTACTCATGTTTGGAAACATCACACGGAATCCATGATTACTTGGAAAAACGTACAGGTATTTACGCAAAGAAAATCAAACTGCGACGTGCTAAACGTTGCGCCGAGAATAAACGAACGAAAAGATCCGTTCATAATCAAACCACTTTACCTTCTCCGTCTCATCGGAACTCTACGCCGCCTTCTTTTTTTGGCATTCGCGATAAACAGGATCGATACGATGATCGTTACCGTATCGCTTTTTTACAATCTCAACGACCTAACAACCACTTTGTCCCTAAATGGATTATTCTTATTACATCAAATTATTTACATGCGGGTGGTTGGACGTCATTTATACAGGACTGTGATGATAGACAGTCTTTTTATACTTTAAATTCTTTACATTTAGATTATTTTATTTTATTTTCAAAATTTTTTAATTTAGGGTCACATGTACTTTCGTTTAATTCTTTTCTTTTTTCGGCGTCTAGTGTTCTGGGTTAGTAGATCTGGCTTTGCCTAGGATTCTTTTTGAATAAGAGGCGTGGCGGTCCCTTTTTGTTGGACGTACTCGCATTAGCTTAGCTTTGTTTCTTTTTCTTTGTAAATCGACCTGCTAGCAGTTGTTTGTAGTCCCGGGTCACTGTCTATATAATAAAAATAAAATAAAAAAAATTGATAGTTTATTTTTTTATATTTTTATATATAGTTTATTTTTATTTAGTTTATAGTTTATTTATTCATTGGGCATATTAGCATATAGATGGAAATCGGAGGCTTAGAGGTGGGTGCTAAGATAATTCGGAATTGGCTTAACTAGTTAACTGGGCAAAATTGGCCGAATGGCAAATTTGTTTGATGGACAAATTTGTACCGAATTTTGGATAATATATAAGGACCGATTTGTGGAGGATTTGGGAAGGTTTTTATGATATAGAAATATACATATGAATATACAGAGCGCCAAAAGAGGCAGTAATATTGTATTTTATTTGTTAATAAATAAACTCTGCCGGCTTGTTTCCTATTTCTTATAAATAAACAATTCATCCCATTTTATTGCAGTGTTCATTATCATTCAGTAAACTTTTGTTATACATCATTTTAAAATCTATTTTTACCCGATTTATTTCTGATTATCAGCTATTTATCATATACACATTCCAAATTACTTTACCGGTCAGAGAATTAAAGTAAATCATATTTTCATATTCGTCCAATAAACGATGTTCTAAAAAAAACAAATACATTTTTATGGCACAGTCTGAAGTATTATATTTTTATTAAATTGATGGTGAAAATAATATCATAATTTACAAATAAAAATCTGTAGTTGAATGCTAAACATTCGACCTTAATGATCTTATAGAAGCGGCTGATAAACGTCTAATAAAGTTTCTAATTTTATCACGCCGATGATACCATCTCACTATCGCGTGATACGATCTTAAAATTAGTTTATTTACTATAACTAATCCACCAGATATAAGTACAAGTGATGGAATAAGATCGTACGTCTCAACACTATTATAGTATAATATCTGTATAATTAATTGTGGTATATCTTCAGCAAAAATATTTATGAAACTACCCCAAAGTATAATCTTCCTTGACCTTTGTGATAATGGGGCTGAAAATACTTTGAGACCAAATAAATTTGATGTCAAAGTATTTATTGCTAGTATGTCAATGGATGAAAATATTGCACAAATTGGTAATAATAGTGTTGGAAGTTCTGAAACCCAAGTAAAGAACATTGGATTTGTATCTACTTCAGACAAAAAAATATTTATAGCCAATAAGAAATTGACTATAAGTGGAACAATAAGGAATACCATACTAAATAATAATAAATAAGAAAATTATTAATTAATTAAATTAATCTTTAAAATAATAAAAATAACATAATCATATTAAACAAAATTTCTTACTTTGGGACTATCAGATGTGGAGTATTATTAACCCTTAATAATGTGAATGTTAAATCCACAGCAAGATCTTGCATTATTAATGCAGTCTCAAATATGGCAAAATTTCTTCCTTCGGGGCTTTTCCACCGTGCCAAAAAATATAATATTGCTAGTATTATTAGACTTACTAAAGATATTATAATTACTGGCAGATATTTTCCAAAATAATCCTCTGTAAAATAATAGAATTAAAAATTTAATAATGAAATATTACTTATTTAAAAATATCAAAAATATTTAATGAACAACACTTACGGGTTATTACAAAAGATGCACTTTCATCAATTAATGAAGTATATTCATTAATTGAAAGGGCAGTAAACCCTTTTTTTTCAACCAAAGTGCCCAAATTATCAAAGATTGTTTTTGAGTTTGGTTCAATGGCATCTTTGGCCTCATTTATAGTAAAGGATAACAACACTTTATTGGGGGAAGTAGGGTCATTTTTCCATTTACCATTTGTTGTTATCCTTTGTTGATCCACTGGAATTATTTTGGAAAACGCTTGAATTATATTATTGAAAAACTCCGACTGATTTGATTGAAGAAATTTTGAACTCCCTTCTTCATTCAATCGAAGTGACCCTGTGACTGAAACTGAATGTTGTCCTGCCTTAAATGGTTCTAAATATAATAAAGAAATATAAATTTTTCTATTTGACCAGTAAAAAAATTAAAAAATTAAAAATTAAAAAAATATATATATATTACTTGTTGAAAACATCCAAGTTTCCTCATTAATGCCTAATAAAGGTTCATTTCTCTCCTGAGAAATGACAAAATTATTATCAATTATCACATGATACGAAGCATTTGGCTGATTAAATGAACTCCTGAAAATTGGAATATGCACAGTGTGATTATCACTTCCAACAGTACATAGTTTGGAATTTCCTGAGATTGTTTGCCGTAATAGATTTGGTTTATATGGGTCACCATTTAGTTGAAATATCGAAATATTTGCAGTTGATAATCTCACTGGAATGGCATATTTAATTGTAATTTCATTGATTGAAGAATCAATAAATTCATGGATCGCTGGTTTTGTTGACTCAATTACAGGATTATCATATTCAGCTCCTATAAATCAAAAAATTTTTTTATTAAAAAAAAAAAATAAAATAAAATAAAAAGTAAAAAATAATCAAAAACTTACCTTGATTATTTAATCTTAATAAAGGTTTCAATAAAATTTCTAATTTATTACCAATTTGTTTCTTTATTCCTAATAAAGTACCATTTCTTGAGAACATATTAGTATGAACAAACTCTGGGCCAAAAGATCCCCCTGATTTATAATTTCCATTATTATCTAAAATAGAAAAGTCCATTGCAGTTGTATTTGTATAATATTTTCTCACAAGAAATCCTCCGTAAATTAAACTTGAAAAATCAAAGACATCCATACTTATTTCTTTAGGAATCATATCAAATTGAATAAAGGCCCCAGTTGTTAAAAAATCCAATCTATAATAATTCACTTCAGTTCTTGATTCATTCCTATTTGTAATTGTATTGTTTAATGACACAATACATATATATCCTACACCATTATTGTAAGTACATGAGTTAAATACCACACTATTTAATTTTGTAGTAGTTTGATAGACAAGAGAAGGTGTTGTAGGCAAATATGTTCCTTCTCTTAAAAATGAAACATAAATTTTCCAGTATTGAATATTTGGATCATTTGTTGCTAATGATCCCATTTCATCATATTTTAGAATATATGCATATCCAATCCCTCCATCAATTAAATTAAAATTAAAACTATTTACAAAAGTATATGATAATTGGTTTGGTACAATAAACTCGCTACTTCCATGTTCCACCACTTTTCCTGTTGTAATATCTCTAAAGTAAAGATAAAAAAGTTAATCAACTGAACAAAGAAATATTTAAAAAGTATTTACTTGTAAAAATACTTACGGGATACTAAGCCAATGCAATGTTGCTCCTTTTTTGTCATGTTCTTCAATACGAATAAAACCTTTTTCTAATCTTCCACTATCTATAATATAGTCATTAACATTTCCTAAGTAGATTTCACTAAAAAAAAAAAAAAAATTATTATTGACCTTTATAAATGATAATGTTCCAACATCTAAACTTACTTTATAATCTCACTTTCATAATTAATTATCAATCCATACTTTCCCTTAACACCATTATTTGATTTAACATAAATTACCATTATATAATTATAATTTAATGGTATAAAATCCATACTAATGGGGCAAACTGCTTCTGGAGGAAAGGTGTAATTAAGATTTATGTATGTAATTCGTCCTGTTCTTTCTATCAATCGTAGATAAAAATAAGGTAACATGCATGATGGATCTTTATCATCATCAAAGGTCATCCAGATCATTAAAGTACCTTTTGAAAGTGTGTGGGTATCATGTAGTTTTAGACCATCTATAGGTTCTTCATAAGTGTACAATATATCTTGAGGAGATGATACATTTTGGGATGAAATGAAAAAGCAACAGATGGAGGTTAAATACATAAAGATGATCAACATCTTTGCTAAATTGAACATTTTTAACATTTTTATTAGAGACTTGGTGGGAAAATGTATGTGAAAAATGTAGAAATAAATTTAGAGACAAATGTGTGTAAAAAATGTGAAAATAAATTTAGAGACTTGGTGGGAAAATGTGTTTGAAAAATGTAGAAATAAATTTAGAGACTTGGTGGGAAAATGTGTTTAAAAAATGTGAAAATAAATTTAGTGACTTGAAAAATTTTAAATTTTTACTCAGAGGGATTACAGAACATTTATATATGTTTCTTGTCATTGTAAACTTGATTTATTTATTAACTAACTATTAATAACTTTTCTTTTAATCAAACGTTTAAAATGTGTTTCAAAAAAAATATATTAATTATACTACCAAATTTGTATTTCAAAAACTGATCTGCATTGTTTTATTCACACATGTAAAAAAACGTGCAACAAATATAATGGCTGAAAAATTTCTGACACTAAAAATATTGTCCAACAAAAAGAAGTGTTTGGTATATATGCAACATGCGTTTTAGTATCAAAGGAGTTACTAGTGAAACGTCTGTTACCTAATTTATGATGTATGAAATGATAATGATTTGCTTCATCATTCATCAAAATTTAAAATTAGGATCATATAAGAAAATATGTAACATTAGCTTGGATTATACAATTAGATACATAATTAATTTTTATTTTTTTTTAATACATATTAGCAACAGAACATTGCTTTGCACGATCAATGAACTTGAAACATTATGCACACAAATAATATTCTGGGAACAAAATATTAAATTCTTCAAATTTATTAAATTTATCATAGTTTTAGTGATAAAATTATGATATCACTACTGGCAGAAAAGCTGACAATTTTTGCCATGCATTATTACTCCTTTTCTATCACTCTGCTATGTTTTATCTTTCTATGATTACTGGATACAAAATGGCACAATAAACAAATGAATTATTCCTCATATATTAGACCTAGAGATATAAAACCATTACCATTTGTAAGACAACTATGATGAGGCAGAGCAGTATTGCAAGGGAATGGAAAGGATATTCATAAAAGTTTGTCTTAATTTAGCGTAAAACAATGATAGAGAAGTGGTAACACAGCATAAAATGTATTGTTAAGAGCATCATTAATATTAAATTTTAACATGAGACATTTCTATTGTTTAATTTTCATGATCAACATGATCAACATTCATTAATGGTTAAACCCAATCTATTTTAAGATAACAATCCGTAATAAATTACGGAGGCATGCAGCATGCTACACGTTACAGTAATACAACTCAAAATTACTTATACAGGGTAATCTAAATATATAATACAGTAATTTACTAGAGACAATTTATTACCCCTATAAAAATTTATTCCGTGTTTTTTTATTCCATATTATTTCCGTAAATGTATCATATTCACGGAGTTTTCCAGAAATTACGTTTTACATAATCTTTATTCCTATTATTTTATCAAAAAGAATTTAATAGTACTATTATTTAAAAAATTTATAAAATATTTATAGTATTAATAAAAATCGATGAACTGCAATAAATATATACTAGTATATATGTTGTGCGTCACAACGTCAGATGCCGGCCTACATTATTATTAGCCCAATATTGCCCAATATTATAATGCCTTAAGTGGGGTGGCCAGCATTACTATATAGGCCAGCCGTCATCTGATGACGTTTGCTGTCAGCTGACGCAAATCGCACAACATATATGTAAATAAAATAAAATTATATATTGCACAATCTCGCTTTCATGGTTCCAAACTTGTGAAGGAAAATGGAAATGAGAAAAAAGAATAGTACCTTTGGGGTTTCATTTTGATAATTCTTTTATTATGGAAAAATCAATGATTGACATCCACGTGAGCACGAACCTTGCTGTATTAACGACTGCGGTACAGTATAAATTTTCCGAATATTTTAAAATTCAAAAACTCCATCAATTCACATGTACACAGTAAGACTGGCTTGAGAAACTTTTCTTTTGCGCTTAATTTAATTGAACACATGTTCCCTGAGAGATAAGAAATCTTTTTATATCGTGAAGTCGATACGGACTTTATTCTGATTCAAAAAAATAGACGTTAATGGTCTACAAATTATTAACCAAATATAACAAGTATAAGCTATTTATTTGCCTCATATTTGTAAAATACATTAGTACGAATTAAGACGTTCATTTGAAGAAGATTTGTTAATGGTAAATAAATGAATCTGAACTTTATTTTATCTTTTCTTTTTTTATACTAGGACAACAAAAAATTGAATAAAAAGGGTGAAATAATGATGAACTTTTTTTCACAAAGTATCATCAATGAATTTTTAAATAATGGGTTAGAGTCGAATTATTTTTTACTACCAATGAAAGAACTACTGACGAGTTTTATAGTATATATATATAGACCTTATTTATTTTAACCTAATTACATGCAGAAATTGGTTGGTCACTCACTCACCCATAATAAATTTTAACGGTAAAGTTTTAGTTATCAAAAAAGAATTTAAAAATTTTATAATTAAATAATTACATATTTGCGTTTATTAATGAAAGGAACAATCGCTCAGTTTTTTATCCGGAAAAAAGATGATTTGCGCGGATAAATTAAATGAATATTACTTCATAAATCAAAAGATGTTTTCTAGATCATCGTCTATGAGCATAAGCAAGAATATGCGTAACAATACAAAGAGTCACAAACCTAATAACACTACTTGATTATCAATGTAAAGTCATCATTACTTTAATACTAATAATTTTTAAATTTATATTTTAATCTCTCTTTTATACTTTAGGGAACCATGATTTTGTAATTTTAAAATAAAAATTTTCTACAAATAGATACTGTTTTCTTGCGCCATGCATATGAATTTTTTGGTAATTACCAAGTTAGGTCTATGGCTTATTAATAATTGGTATTTCTTAATTTACATATTACAGCAAATTTGTTGCTTTTAAAGTATATCAAATTAAATAAATCGTCAATACGGTACGTATCTTTCTTTAGAAGAATATGCTTGTTATCAAACAATTAAGAAATTAAATTTTGCGTGTTAGGTTATTTACAAAGGGAACTATTATTATTGGTAAATATCAAATAAATCAAGGGTCATAACCAAATTATATTTAATATATATCAATGTACTGAAGTTATACCATCTTTGAGCTCATAAAATAACATTTTTCATGCTTTAGAAAATCGAATTGAATGAACCAAAGAAAAAATTAATAACCATAAAATGAAATTTGTTTTGTAGATTTTACATTCGATAATTAAAATTATAATCACAATATAACAACATAATCAAATAATTTTTTTTAGCTGAAGTTGATTCAACATGATCATATTGTACATAATAAATGTAATGATACTAACTTTTTTTAAAAAAGTTACTCCATTTACAATATATATTCTAAACGATTGATCTATTGATTTATTAGTGTCACTTTTATTATCCATATTCCTTTGTTGTATTGATCGCTCATTGGTCCTAAATATATTTATATTTGAAAATAAAACAAAGAATTTATCGTTCGTTACTTGGCACACACATTTATCGGAGTCACAATATTTTCAATTCCGATTAGATCGAAAAAAAATTAAAATGTCTTTTATTTAACAATCATTATACGGATAAAATATTATCAAAAATGTTGGTATGTACATATCTGGTGAATTGATTAATTATGAACATTCGAAAATCATAAGTAACAAGCAACTAATATACTGTATATATTATAAAACCAATCATGAAAACACATACGTTTCAAACGACTACGAAACGCCTAAATGAGAATTAGATCAAGCGAGGTTTTGTAATACTGTAATAATAAAGGAACTAATTTTAGAACTCTTTTAAACAATTTTATAATAGACCATATTCATTTTAAAATTAATATCGATGAATAATAGATAGTTCTCGACAATCTAGAGTATATAACGTCATAATGTGACACGAAAGATTCAAAAAATGTTTGAATGATTTTATTTTTAAATATTTGATATCTTTTTTTGGATTTATTCACTAAAAATACAATCACATATATTAAATATTTCAATTTCTCGATTTCTTTGTTTTTCATAATTATCATAATAGATATTTATAACGGAAAATGTTACACGTTTCAAGTATCGTATTATTCACTTTTAGGTTATTGCATAAATAGGGGTTATACGTATGAGTACATATTATCAAGAACTAGTAATTGTTACAAAATAAAATGTGCATTTTTATTTCAAAAAAGGTTAATAATACAGTATACAAAATTACGAAAAAAACAATATTTATTTGTTAGAATAATATGAAGTGCTTTCTTTTAATGGTATTAATTGTTAGCATTAAGCGTTTAATGGTTTATACAAATCCGCAATAAGTGTCCATTGTGGTCACATTTAAACAATAATTGATATCCGTGTAAAAATTATAGGGGGTTAGAATATAAATAGATTTAGGTTAACCTTTTTGTTACAGAATCACATGACTATTTCACGGGTCCCGATCCGGATTACGAATCTTTCTTTCACGTGACAAATCAGATTTAAAACGTAAGTGATTTTTTTGCGTCATTTTGTAAACGATCGACTGAATAAAAATCTTAATTAGTACCATCCAATTTAAAAATACCGGTTTGTTTAATTATTAACTTAGACCGATTTATATTCATTTTTTTTTTTCCTTGAATCGATCTTTTACTACTTTCTTTTTTTTTTCGGTTTGGTTTTTTTTCCACCCGAGAATTTTATTGGTTTTTTTTCCTAAACTGAAAATTTTTTTTTTTATTGGTCTTTTAAGACCATTTTTTTACAGTTTTTTCGGTCTTTTTTTTATACCGTATTATTAACTTTTTTTTCAGTCTTTTTGGACCAGATTATTGTACTTTTTTTTCAGAATTTTTTTCGGTACTTATTTTTTCTTTCCTTTTTTTTTTTCCCAAACCACATTCTTAAGCCATCTAGATTTGGATCGGTGATCGGATTGACGCTGTGGCACTACGGTAATTGCCTTTTTTCCCGATTCTTCTTATTATTATTAGTAATAATATTTTCCCTGATTATTTTTAAGGCTCAATATAAATAGACTGACATATAATTTACTTATTTATTTTTGTAACAATAGATCGGTTAGTAAATTCTATGGGAAATGTTTTTTTCATGACAATAGATTGTTATAATTGGGGAATTTTTTTTTTCATAGCAATAGATTGTTATAATTAATTTTTGGGGAATTGTGAGATATTTTTTTAGGAGGATTGCTAACCGTCGCCTGGGTGATCACCGCCTGGGTTTTTTTTTCAAATATGTCACATGATGTACAAATTTATTGCTGATTTTTTAACTTAGTTATTTTGATCGGTTAAACTTAAAATTTTATTGCAAAGATATTTTTTAAAAAAAAATTTTTTGCATATTTATTTAAAATAATCTTATTTAATGAAATTTTATTTGCAAATATTAAAATTTAAGCCACACATTTACGATTTTAAAGAAAAAAATCACCATATTTAAACAATAACAATAAATAAAAGATAAATAAATTACAATGACCAAGGAGAAAGATGATGAAATAACAATGGAGTAATGGAAAGTAATAGAAGATGAGAGAGAAAAAAAGTGTAATGAGAAGTGATAGGAAACAAAAAGGAGAAATAGGACATGATGAGAGATGAAAAGTAGTGATGAGAAACGAAAAGAAGTGATGGGAGACGAAGAGAAGTAATGGGAGGTAAAAAGGAGTGATGGGAGACGAAAAGAAGTGATTGGAGACGAAGAGGAGTGATGGGAGACGAAAATGAGTGATGAGAGACGAAAAGAAGTGATGGGAGACGAAGAGGAGTGATGGGAGACGAAAATGAGTGATGAGAGACGAAAAGAAGTGATGAGAGACGAAGAGGAGTGATGGGAGGTAAAAAGGAGTAATGGGAGACGAACTGAAGAGGATGTGTGTTACTTATTACTCTCTTTATTACTCTCTTACTTGATGGGCAAGTATCATTCCCGCCGCAACGCGACGGGTTACACCTAGTGTAATACTAAGTAAATTAAAGATGGTTACAGTAGTTTTTTGTAATTTAATATGGTAATAATTAGTTAACAAAAAATGAAAAAATAATAAATTAATATGTATTAAATTATTACTATAATATAGCTTATATTAATGATTTGACGGTTGCGATTCACCTAGGGTGATTGAACCTATATAATTTACCCGGTGATATCACCTCATTATTAAATTTCTACATTAAATTTTATTGGCTAACTAGAATATGCGATTTGCTGGGGGACTTCGTCCCCCAAATATAACATTTATAATAAAAAAATTCTTTGATATAAATAAATTGAATTGTTACTGAATAATAAAATTTTATTATAATTAGACCCTATAAAAAATCATGTTTTAATAAGATTTATACAATTTTTTCTTAAAAATAATGTATCTAAACTATATATAAGGATATAGGAAAATGCACAATTCCATATCACAAAAATGCACCATGTGTATGATTGACCATAATTTATACTGAATTTATATTGATTTGATCAAAGAAATTACATAATTTGAGCATAGAATTTACAAGAATTGGTCAATGAATTTACTGCTTAAATTATAATTATTAATATTAGTTGCATTTATATGAATTTAATTTTAAATAATTAAATTATTAAATCAAATAGTATCATGTGATTATAATTAGCCAATAATATAAATTAATTTTTATAATTTAAAATAATGACATAAGCTGTAATAAGTGTTCTAAAGTTAATAC